ATAAAGGATGTCAACAACTGCCTAATACTTTCAATAATTCTTTTGTATACTTCCATTCTTGTGGAAGGTGTTTGCTTTGCCTCCTTTAACATCAATACAGTTCAACCTAGAAAACAAAAAAAACTGCTCTTTACATTGTACTCATTGATGCTTGATTTTCTTTTCTTCTGGTATACACTTTTACTGCTATCATTTGGTTTACACAGCCCCACTCCGTTGTTAATAGTACTTTCTTGTTTTAATTTATCCAGGACCAAACATACTGGATAGAAGGCCAACTACAACTTAGAGAACATGGATCAATTCCTTACTACATTGGATGTGGTACTTGTAACCGCAAAGTTGACTTCAATGAGGGAACTACCTTTGACTGCATGCAGTGCGGAGACAATACTGCAACAACTGCAAAAAGGTTTTTACTTTTATCATCTACAATATGTAGGACTCTTTCACTTCTGTCTCCACTCTAATACAATGACAAAAACATACAGGTTCAGAATCTCTGCCGAGATGGGCAATGGAACAAAAAAAAAATACAATTCATCCTCTTCACAGAAGATCTGAAAAAAGTAGCTAGATCGCTTGAACTGAATACACCAATGGAATTAGTTGACACCAATGAAATACACCAATGGAATTAGTTGACACCGAGAATCTGAACAAAGGACTCAGCTCATTACTCATCACAGGTGCGGTCAATTTACAGCCAACCACATACCAAAGACGAGATAAAATGTTTTCATTATTATGCCTACATAAGCTATCTTACCAACACACAAACAATCCACATCTCAAGAGAAAAGAAAGAGCTACAAGTCAAGATGACTAACATCTGCAAGGGAAAAGAACAAGTACAGTTTCAAAGCATCTAGCTTCCATAGGGAAACTATTAGCCGTGGAGAAATTAGAAAATGACCTCTAAACCTTACGAAGGACCTTCTCAAATTTTGACAAGTGGGTTTTAGCCTCAACTGCATGTAAAATATATGTACTGTCATGCTACTTTAACTGTTTTGTCAAATAAACTGTGTAACTCTAAACGTCACGACTTTTACTAGTAACTTCATGTTCTCCATCTTAGTTGCTAGTATCTTAGGATATACTCCCTCCGTCCCTGAGTGTTTGTCCACTTTCATTTTTGCACACCATCCAATGCACTTTTTTAATCCATTTTATCTTGTAATTTGTATATTAAAAAATTATAAAAATTATATATTAATAATCTATATGTTAAGACGAATCAAACAAGATCACACATTACTATTTTTAGGCTTACACATTGAGAGAATTTGATGAGTCAAAGTGCTTAGATGAACAGTTCCAAAAGTCAAAAGTGGACAAACACTCAGGGATGGACCAAGTATGTAAGACTTGGAACTATGCTTTTACTCTTATCAAATGGACGCATGCTTGGGCACCCACGCACATCGTGCGTTCCCAACTAGTGTATATGTATATGTGTGTGTGTGTGTGTGTTTATATATATATATATATATATATATATATATATATATATATATATATATATATATATATATATATACACACGCTACAGCTCTTCTCCGGTTACTAAAAAGAAGGAAGAAGACCATAAGGGAGCTAGAAATGCGTCATTAATTGACTCTTTAATGGAAAAAGAACTGGAACCCAATTCGAAACATACTCCAGATTCAGAGCTTCCTATAGACCAGGACTGCAAGAATATTATGGATCAAATCATCAGCGACAACTATAACCTATTCAGAAGATGTATAGCAAACAAAAGATTTCTAATAGCTCTAAACAGGGGTGAGGTACTCGACTACTCAGGAGAAGCTATTAGGGTCACTAGAGAAGCAATGAAGAGTTTTGAGTTCATAGATGCAGCTATGCTGGTTGGTAGTGAGAGGACTCTTAGTACCTGCATACCCAAAAGAGGGCGCTGGTTAAAAAAAATCCTTTTTTTTCTTGCTTTCCCTTAGCAGCGGGAAAGGAGTCTATCTATCTGCCTAGCTTTGGTAGATTTCCCCCAACGCAATCCACAGAAATTCAACGAATCCCTTGGTGGATAAGTCCGACGACTCAGCAGCAGTGCGGAATTGAGTTTCTTGTCTGGTAGATCTGATAGGGGGCAATACATACCAAAAGGTTCGAATTCAGGGTGCGAAATACCCAGTTTTCCTTGCTTATGCAAAACAAGACATGGAGGCAGTTCTCAATCAACTTTGTGGTAATCAAGAATGAATGGGGAAGTTATCTGACCAAGGAATTTACTTCACTCTGGAGAGCCAATCAGGGTGGTTTGTATCTTACTTGAGGACTCAATTCAAACTGTTGAGTTTCCAGGGGTTAGATTTTCCTCTTGTTGGAATCTCCCAAGTTTATGGAATTAATAGGTTTGTTCCTTCTTGTTTTGGGTTTTATAAGAGGAGGTAGACTGGTAGCTATGTTATGCTCCGTTTGTGTTGTTTATTTTCATCTTAGGGTTTCTTTAGGGATCTACTTTCTTTCTTGGTTTTGTCTATGCCAGATTGTGGCTTCTAGTAGTCCCTGGCCAAAGGTTTTAGGAACCAGGGGTTTAAAGGGTGAATAGCCACAGGCTTTACGTATGCCTCCTGCTGATTTAAGAGGGAAAGTGGTTGGTTCCCTCACTATCACAAGTGTTTCCCTGGCTACTGTGAAAGCAACAACGAAGGGGAGGTATTTCTGTGAAGTATACTTCAAGAGGAAGAAGACATTTCTTGGGTTGGCCAGCAACTTCTTCAAACAGGGAACCAACATTTCTTTGCTGCATTATTGTATAGGGTTTTTTTGTTTGGTGGTTGCTTGTTTTTTTATTCTAGTTTCCTTTCATATATATATATATATATGTGTGTGTGTGTGTAGGTTTTGGTTCCTGTAAGAATAGAATCTAATGAAAGAAATACGAATGAATATAGAGCATTAGATGAAATAATTTTATATTAATATTGTCGTGGGCTTTTTAGGTATTCTAATGTTAGGTGTGTCTTTTTTCTCAAATGCTCTCATTAATTCCACAATTTTAGGCATGATTGTTGTAATTAGTTCAATCCCATTAATTAACTCATGAATTACTTAACCCATATGCGTGCATTTAAAAAAAGATCCAATAATTTTTCTATTTTAATTGCTTTAAACAAAATCAATCAGTTTTTTTATCTCTTTGAAATACACTTACCCTGTTTGCTTTTTCCTTTGTAAAAAAAGTTACGGTTTAATTTTTTTTAGGTCAAAATGGAAAAATTTTAGCAACGAAATTTTAAAAGGATGTATTCAACAATTTTGGACACAACAGCCCTATCCAGTTTTACAAAGTAAAATGGTTTGTTTTTTATTTTTTATTTTTTCTGTGTGTATTAGATTTTCTATGCTTTCTTCAAATTTCTTGTGGTAGTAATTGTAAGACCAAACTGATTGAGATAGAATTTACAAAAAAAAAATGAACCTTATTTAAGTTCTTATTCAATGCGTTCAACGTTCATGTGCATTAAAAATAGAATAATGAACAAAGCATACATGGGCACTTCTAGATGCATATTATACACTTTAGTTATGCATCATAAAAAATTTACAATGCATCATAACATATTTTCTATTGTTACTAAATTTCAATGAGCAAAGAATTTTCTATTGTTACTTTTATGCATCATAAAGAATTTAAGGTGCATCATACGTTATTTTTCATTTTAAAGGTAAAACTAATGCATTCCATTAGTGTGCATTCTTGGAGAAAAGTAATATTCATCTATCACATGGTAAAACTCTTGACATAAATATGATGAACTTAAGTGAAATTTTTGTAAATGATGATGCATTAAAAATATTTTGTAATGCATTTGAATATGGGTTTCTTAAGAGACTATGGGTGAGAATATGATGCATTTGTATATTCTTATGAGTGAATTTTTTTCTAACAATATGATGAAATTTTCTCAACACAAATGATGATGCATATATATGTTCTAGCTAGTCAATTGTTTCAAACAATAATGCATTAAAAATATTCTATGATACATTAAAATATGGTTATAAACTCTTTGAATGATTTTAAAATATGAACATACATATTTAATGAGTCAAGTGCAAGATGAGACTATCTTTGAACAAAATGATTCGTTATTAAATAGTTAAAACGGTGGAGCGATATGTGTCACAGTTTTGCACTTGAATCTTTCATAGGAAAATTATTTCTCAAATCTAAATTACACGTGTGTGCTCTGAATACAATGCATTCTTATCACATTCAAAGTCACTCCGAAGCCGTTATTTACTAATCCACAAATTATTAGAATAAAAAATAAATAAAATTTAAGCGACAATTGATAGTGCATATATCGGCCCTCATGGAGCATTTGTGCATAAAATCATACTTGATGCTGCATTTATTTGGTTAAATAATAGAGAAAAAAGTATCTATAAATTTGTCTATAAAATATAAAAAATATTAAAAATTTATATTGAATATTAGTATCATCGTCTTACAAGATATTTTCAACGATATATTATTTTAAAAAAAAAGAATTGTATACAAAAAATTATTTTAAAAATATTCAAAGCAATAGAGTAATATTTCTAAATTGAATAAGGAGTGGCTCGTGGGAAGTTTTAAACTAAAGAGAATATATAAGTGCTGAGATAATTGCCACATTAATGCATCACAATTTTACCCAATTGCCCATAGATATTAATTACTCCCAATTTTAGTGCATCCGTTTACTCATTTCCATAAATAAGATGAAAATTAATTTTGGAGGCTTTCAAAATGTTAACCGTTGGATGCACTAGATGTAATGATCAAGATTTATTCTTATTTCTTTCATCATGAGTCATTCTCACCTGAACCGGCCCATATATATATATATATATATATATATATATATATATATATATATATATATATATATATATATATATATATATATATATATATATATATATATATATATATATATATATATATTTGAAAAGGATAATTAAGCACTGTAAAACTTCAGAGATAACATGCAACAGGAATCATGGTGAACTCCCATGAGCAAAAGTTCTCATAGATAAACAAAAAGAAGAAAAGATCAATGTCTTCAAATGGGAAACTAAATAAAAATTTGAGGCAACTCTGCAATGAAACATACAACACAAACTCTAGTCATATCCTCCAAAGAGATCAAAACCCATTTCTCCATCAGATTCCTCTTCTTCTTTTTCCTCCTTTTTCTCTTGGGCAGCAGGAGCAGCAGCGGCACCACCACCACTGCCACCACTAGCAGGTGCTGCAGCTACAGCCACACCACCACCACTGGGTACAGAAGCCAACTTTTCCCTTCCAGATGCTATCAGTTCAGTGATATCTTTTCCCTCAACTTGGGCTAAGAGAAGATCAACTCTGTCCTCATCCGCATCAGCACCAACGGAGGACAGAATTTTCTTGATGTCGCCGCGGGAAGGGGAGGCGTTGCCACCGATCACGGCGAGCAAGTATGCGGCGATAACCTTCATCTCTCTTTTCCCCTTTGTAGCCTTGAGTAGCGATTGCAGATGGGCCTTCTCTTCATATATATATATATATATATATATATATATATATATATATAGAGAGAGAGAGAGAGAGAGAGAGAGAAAATATAATTTATTAGATATAAATGAAAAAGTACATGGGGTTGGCCAAGAAACCCCTACAAAAGGCAGACTGACAATAAAGAAAACAAGAGGAAAGTCCTCACAAACTAATCCAAAGGTAACAGAACAAAATAATCCCAGAGTACAAGGTGGATGAGTCGAAAATATCAATCTGCTCCAAGTCCAAAAGTACCAGCCTGTGATGGTTTGTCTGGTTCTCCTTGAAGTAGTAAGGGGATGAGTCCACTAAAAACTGTCTCGATGTCATACCACCAAATACAGCACTGCACTTATCAATTCAGCAACTATAGAAAATAAAACTGGTCCAGACTCAGATTATTCAAAATTTGTAACTCCATCCGGATGGCTTAACCATTCTCAAAGTAGAGGAGTTTTTTGAAATTTGAAATGCTATGGCCGGATCCAAGTAATGCAGTAACTTTGAAAACCAGCAACTAACTCAAGAAATGAGATTGGAAGAGAGACATCCAAACAAAATCCAAATCCTTAGAACCATGCATGCTTAACCAAGAGAAAAAGAGAAACAACATGATTTATGCCACTGAAGCCTCTCCACAAAAATCAATTCTTTTCCCAAACACGCTTAGCTTTGAGTTCTGTTAGCCTCTTACTTCTTCTTGGTTGGGGATTATCCTTGAATTGCAAACACATTTGATCAAACATCTTCAGGTTTTTTTTCATGTAAACCTCTTTATGGACATGCCAATCTCCCTCTTCTTCTGATCCTCTATCAGTCACCCATTCATCTTCAGATTCTTCTGAAGGAATCTTGAAAGGTTTTGCCAAAGGCGAAACTTCAGGTCCAGAGATGTACCCGAGGTTTTTGCTCCAGGATGGGCTTTCGATATCATTGTCTGAATTAGAACAACCCTGGAAATGAGGAGGTTCTAAGCATGCCAATGTAGGAGGGTGGCTGGGTGGGGAGACAAAGCTTTGAGGGGTGAAGGCTGGAGCCAAAGCAGACAATGAACATGGCTGATTTTGAGAGGATAAAGTAGTTGGTTTATTAGGACAGAAAATGGGGGTGTGATATAGATTTGTAGAAATATCTAAATCAAGTAAAGTAGCAGAGATAGAGTACGTATGTTGGATAAGGGGAGGGTGAGTCCTGGCACATTCTAAGGCATTATCAATAAAAGGAGGGGAACAGGGAACAGAGGACTTACGATTATCATACATTTTCTGAAAGCAAGAGATGAAGGAAGTAAGGCCATAACCTTGAATACCCTCAGGGATGAGAACCCAAGTCTTACCATCTTGATGATGCTCGCATAGTCTGATTTGGTTACCTCTTCTGTGCGGCTGAAATGATAGGGTGAGCACACTCCTCTTCTCCCTTCGATAGGCCGATCGAAGCCTTCCTTCCATTGTGATGAAATGGAGAGCCTCTAGGAGCCAGGCGCAGGTGTCTAATTCTAGCCAGATGTTGAAGCTCTTGTTCCTATGCTTTTCGGTAATACAAATCTTCTGATTGAAAATTGATTTTGTGAAGGTGAAGATCTTACCTTCAATGCGAAATTTTGATGAACCAGTAGCTATGGAAGCAAAGTTCTTGGAAAGATCTTGCCTGTGTGCTTCCGTAACTTGCAGTTGAGCAAGAGGAGGAAGGGGAACTGGAACGAGGGGTCGTATATCACCATCGATTTCTAGGGTTGATGGAGATCCTCGGAGAACATCAATGTTTGGAAAGGTATGGTGTAGAGGCCTAATGGACGGCCCAGGATCGCTCACCGGCTGATAAAATAGAGGCGAAGGATGGTAGCCGCCGGCGGAAAGTGGCGGAAATTCAGAGATGCTCTGCCTTCTCTCTAAAAAGCTCTCCATTATTTTATATATATATATATATATATATATACACACACACATAGATATATATATATATATATATATATATCTATGTATGTATGTATATATATATATATATATATATATATGTATATATATATATATATAAGGGTTATTTTATGCGCTGGTTGACCACTAATAACTTGGGCCGATTGGACAGGGTTGAGTTATTTTTTATTATTTAATTAGGGCCGTTTTATTGTTATTTTATTTGACATATTTAAAAACTTTTTTAATAAAATTCTATTAGAAATAATATATTTTTATAAATTATATGTTATTCTATTTATTATACAATTAAAGAAGGAATTGGAAGTTTTGTGAGTCCATGTTACAAGTACAAGAGTAATCGAGACTCTGGTTTTATGGGTATGTATTGAAAATGCTCTAGCGTACGTGGTCATCGATTGTGCTTACAAATTGGTGAGTGGGATGGAGATTATTTTTTGTTTGTGATGATTGTGTCATAGTGACACCACTTGCACCGTGCTGATCTGAATGTGTTAAAATTTCAAACAATTTTTTTTAACGATCATTATGTTTTTGATTGAAAATTTCACTATGATTCTTTTAAGCTTAAATGTTGGCTACTTTTTCTTTGTATGGTACTGTTGGGTTCTACGCTTGGATAGGGCAGCGGAAAACAAAATTTTTGTTGTCCAAACGTAGATCCACCCAGGACCTCTTATGATTATTATAAGTTATTGTTTAGAAATATACCTTTCTTGGTGAGCAAGCAACAATATGTGTAGGTTGATGGATTGATCCAAGAGCTAGCCACAAAAGTATATGACCTCCAATTGAGAAACACGAACAACGAAGAGCATTCTAGAGAAAATTATGCTAGTAATTTTACTCTAGAATATTTCTAAAATATAAAATATTTGGTGTAAAGTATTAAGAGAACAAAACAAATTTTCCTCTCTTAAACTATAGTAGGGCCGAAATTCTCTCCACAGAAGGGGTGGGATGATCTCCTATTTATAAGGAGCATAATCCTCATTCCTATTCCTTATAGGAATGTACCTTTTAGAGTTTAGGAAGGAAATCAAATCTCATTCCCATTCTTCTTAGGAAATTTCAAATGGCACTTTAAGGAAGCTTCCAATTTATTTTGTCAACTTTAATTATCATATAATTAACACAAAATAAATAATATAATATTTATTTTATATATATATACATATACACAATATATATATATATATATATATATATATATATATATATATACTTACATATATATATACGGCGATACATATATAAATATATATACGCACATACATATAAATAAAAATACAATGTTATATTTTGTTCCTTAAATAATATTTGACAAACTTAATTATCATATAATTACAATGTCCAAATATCAAATATATAAATATATATATTCTAGCGCCTTAATAATAATAAAATAAAATAATAAACAATTTTTTATTCACACACACACACACACACACACACACACATATATATATATATCCGAATATATATATATATATATATATACTTTATTATTATTAAATATATTTGACAAACTTAATTATCACATAATTAAAATGTTAAAATATAAATATTTATTTATATATGTGTTTGTGTATCTAATCATATTGTCACACAATATAATATACACAATATATAAATAAAGTGCAACTTTACTCCACTTAAATATTCTACACTTTCATATGTTCTATGTGTGTGACCTTATTCTAGGCATCTATAAAATTGGCCATAGTATCGATTAAATACTACAAGTGATAAGCGGTATCTAGCAACACATTATCACCCCCAAATTATAGATTAAATCTCTTGGAACAATTCCTTCAACGACACATACTATTTGTATAACCCTTATCCCTTTATCACTAATATCTTGATTTAACACAAAGTACGGGGTGTGTCACCTTGTTAAAGTTAAATCGATGGTTTACTTATTCTTCGATTGACTTGTGGGATTCAAATAACATATTTATTTAGGCATGGCCATGCACTTCCCAAGTCACATCAATCTGTGGGCCCTAAGATATTATACTTAATTAAAGAAGGGATAAATTCTGTCTACGTTATTCACATCTTCGCTTAAGTTTCATTGCATACCCAAAACATAACTGTACATCCACCAATATTTCAGATGGCATAAATCATGCCTCAAAGTATACAACTCAACTTACCAAAGAATGTAATGACTTCAAGTCAAAGGATAGTTATACTAATGGTCGCATGAGATTAATATTAACACTTTAACTCAAACCCATATATTATTCTCATAGCGGGTCAATCCAGCAACATATCCAATATGGTTGCCTACGTATAGATTCAGATAACACTTTATCTATAGCCTATGAGACGCAGCTATCTCATCTCATACGTATTAGTCTTGATATATTATGATGTCTGTATTGTCATAATATTCAACTAAGGATATTTTAGACGTAGCCTCTATCTTTGTAACAGCCTCATAATTAGAACGTCGTAGTTCTCATCTATGTTACTAGAGCGCCTACTCTATGGACTAAATCTATGTTTAAATCACACGAGACGACTTAAACAATCTTTAGGGCCTATTGTTCTTGATATAATATAGATATGGAATCATAAGTTGGCCTCTAGGGCTCACTTATATTCAACAATCTCCCACTAGCACTAAGGCCAATTATGGTTTCCATGTATGCCTCATGCACGAAGTGTGACCCTCGTGTATAGGTTTTCCCAAAGCCTAGGTCAATAGGTTAAGAGATTGTTTATCCTTTTCTATCTTGCAAATTTTGATACTTTCATTTTACGACTGTTCGTATAATGTGGTGAGATCTAATGACGTCTTGGTTTCTAGGTGTAGCTTCTTTAGCTCCTGTAGTAACCCTATCGTTGTCAGTACAACGAGATATTGGTTTCTAATGCTGGGAGCAACGCTATCCATTCATGAGAAGCTACAAAACCAAAATATCTTCCTCTTTGCTACTTCCAAAGTTGCAAATTTATCTTGCGTATGACACCATGTCAATGCTTGTCAATATATGTTTTGTTAATTTCAACCTACCCTATGGTTGTTCTAAATGAGCTATTTTGTGTGTAACATTCACACTTAAGCCATTTTAGAAAACCATACTCTTTTGTCTCTTCTTAAGAATCAAAAGTCAACTTTTATACTACTCTTAGCTCAGCTTAGACATATATAAAATATATCCTTTTAGAATGAATCAAGTCCGTCTCTCATGGTACTCCATGGAACGATTTCCATGCGATTCTTTTATAGAGTGAGTCTCCAAAAAGGCTTTACCTTGAGATTCATGCAAGTTTCAAAAAACTTCCATGTATGTACTGGTCTTATATTATTCCTAGTTCTTTGATCCATCTATATGGATTCTTCATACTTGAGCACATAACTACTATTTGCATTCATGACTGATAAGTTTTAATTTATTTTGTCAATGATATGCAACATACTTATTGTGCTCCCACTAGTCTTCAATAACTTTTACCCTAGACATATAAGTGCTATAACTGGTTATAGATAATTCGAAACCCTCCTTTTATCCTTGATAGACTCGTCCATAACAAGTGTTTAAAGTGTCCATATGAGACTTACTTTCATTACTTGTTATTTAAGGAAGGAATCGTTTTGGAACAGTTTCCAAGTGCTCTTTCCTTTAAGAGTCTACAATGATTATTTTAATGGTTAAGGTTCAGTAGTATTTGGCAAGGTTACATAATCCTCTTTATTAGACTAACTATTTTAGTCACGATATCTAGATAACGTTTGAGGGAACGTCAATTTCATGATCGTATCACTTTTGTCTTTCCTATTATGTAACTTTGGCATAAATATCACTTGATCTTTATTAAGTGTGCTTTATTAATGCTAATGGCAAGTTTAAATTTCGAAAATTTAAATAGAAAGGGTAGTTGGCTATAACCTTTATAAAGATATCCTTATATCTCTAAGTGGTTATCACTTTATTCATAATTTTGTGACAAACTTTATTAACTGATTAATATTTGCACTTTGTAGCCTTGGTATAGTTGTTGTATTTGCTTGTGAGGCAAAATATTTGATCATATGAAATACTTCTATAAATGGAGCAACAATTTGTCCTTTATTGAAATAACCAATAGTACTTAAAACAATAAGTAAACATCAATTCAAAATTGAAAAACTGATCAAATACTAAAACTTAAACTAATGCGCCACTGAGCTGCAACCCTTGCATCTTCAAGATCAACATTCCTACTACTTCTCTTCAGTTCCTGCAACGGTTTGCAATACTATAAGTATCGAATACTTTTGAAGAGATTGTAGATTAATTTAAGTCTTTACAACAATTGTACCTGAAGCAAAAGCTTCGCCCTTTTTCTTGGTTGCCAATACTGCTTGCAATTCCTCTTCCAGTGGCCAACTTCTCCACAATGATGACAAATGGAATCTTTGGCCGCTCCACTTTTAGGCTTGAGCTTGGAAGAATTGGACTTTGGCTCGGTGTTACCCTTGCCTTTAAGCCCATTCTTCTTTGCCTTTTTGAACTTCTTCTTGCCTTTTCCTCCTTGAACTAGAAGGACAGAATTCCCCTTTCCTTTCGTCAAGCTCTCTTCAGCAGTTTGCAGCGTCTCCAAAAGTTCTGGCAGTGGTTTATCGAGTTCATGCATCTCGTAATTAACCACAAACTGCTTGTACAACTCTGGCAACGATTGCAGAATCAGATCAGTTGCAAGTTCAGTCCTTAGTTCGAAACCCAATTTCTCAAGAGTTTGGACGTAGCCAATCATCTTGAGAACATGCGGACCAACGAGGTTTCCAACTGACAACTTGCAACTAAAGAGAGCTTTGGAGGTTTGGAATCTCTCATGCCTAGCTTGTCCTTGGTAGAGCTGTCTTAGGTGTATGATCATATCGTACGCCTTCATACTCTCGTGATGTTTCTGAAGGTCAGAAGTCATCGTAGCCAACATGAGACATGCCACCTGATTGTCATCATCAACATGCTTCTCTAAAATATCCTTGATAGCTCTAGAAGCATTGGCGGCCGGGACAGGTGGAATGGCTCGTTCGAGCACGTATTCTTTCTTCTCGAGTCGAAGAACGATAACGAGGTTTCTTTGCCAGTCTAAGAAGTTAGACCCGGTCAACTTATCTTTGTCAAGGATCAAGCGAAGAGTGAGGTTATGGTTGTTATTAGACATCTACATATAATTTGCAAGATAGTTAATATCAAGAATCTAAGTAATTAGCTAGGTCTTTAACTAATAACTCTCCCACTATTTGAACAAATCAACTACCCTCAAGTATGTAACCTGTTGATTCGAGACTTCTCCTAAAGAAAAATATTATTAGTGGGCCAAGGTCCAAATTACATTTAACTATAGTTGTGCTTTGCATCTTGCCCTATAGTTAAACTAATTAGGTAGGAACTTATTTCCAATTGTAACATTTTACAACTCTAGGTTAGATGAATTTGATTTTATTTATTAACCTAACCATGTGCCTCTAAGTTATTCATCTTTTTACCTTAACTTAGTTAAGTTCAACCCGGGGCGTACTCAGTATCCATTGTTACGGATTTCGCGTCATACTAATGTAAACCAGGCGTCCCGCTTTGGCGTGTCCGTTGACTGGTCGAAACTGGTATCGACGAGTGAGTCGGCGTCGGAAGGCACAAACTTAATATTATGAGGGATTTTAAACGTGATTTCACCTATGGCATGTGCCGCACACATACACTAGCGAATATCATACAAACATATATACAAACATGTATAATGAATAAAACGTGACATGGTTGTGGCCTCCTAACGATAAAGCCTTCACTTGAGATCTCCATCTCCAGCTTCACCTTCTTTCTTTAAGAATTCTTTTAGTCTTCAAGTTCAGCCCTTCTTGCTAAGGTCCTCTTCTTCTTGGCTCCTACATCTTCCTTGCTTCTTCATGGACTTCTTTGTTTAATCGAGAGAAAAGAATCCTTGCTTTTTAAGCGAGGGGTATGAGGTTTAAGAAGAGATTTACAACCAGAATTTAGAGATGAGGCACGACACGCAGGCCATATTTAAAAACCAAACATTCTAAGCCACAACCATGCACCATGCATACACTCATACATCACATGCATAAAAACCATACACCGGGCAAGCCGCGCTCGCCCCAGACCTAGTTTATTCTAAGAAAAATAAACTACAAGCCTAAAAATTATCAAATAATTTTATTTATCTTTATTTTAAAACTCCAGAATATCCAAAATTTAATTTTAAATTTTCCTAAATTTTAAAATAGTTAATTGCCGTAAATATAGGTATTAATTTCGAAATTGGGATTTTAATTCGAAATAAATACTTATACCTTTTGAAAATTAATAAATAAATTCCAGCATGTGTATTCTGATTTTATAAGTCTGAAAATAAAATTTCCAGAATTTATAAAATTTATTTTCGAAATTCTATATTTAAATATCCAAAATCGGACTTCAATTTTCCAAAAATTCATTCCGAGTTTCCAAAAATTAATATTTTCCAAAACTATTCACTTTGGGTCCGTGTTGTTCTGAAAATCAAATTTCCAGAATTAAATAAATTTTATTTTCGGTATTTTGGAATTTGTTTCCAAAAGGAGTTTAATTAATTTCCAAAATTAATTTAAAATATTCCAAAATTCAATATTTTCCAAAAAAATTTTTTTTGACTCATGTAAAATCTGGAAACAATCTTTTCCAGATTTTACTTAAATTTATTTTTGGTACTTTCTATTTAATATTTGGCAATCCATAAAACAATTTCCAAAATTATTTTTCTTGTACCGTAGTTGTTCCAAAAATGATTATTCTTATAATATTATGATATTATTTCCAAATATTAAATTTCCATAATTTAAAATTAATTATTTAATTTTCTGGAATTAAATACCGAATTACCAAAACTGTTTTTCCCAAAAATTAATAATTAAATACTTAAATTATGACTTTAATTCTAAAACCTTTTATGAAAATCATATTTCCAAGTTCATAAAATTATAATACCGAATTTTAATTGTCCTTTTCGGTTTAATCTATATTATTACCGAATAAGATTATTTAAATCGGGAAAAATAGAAATTCAAAACCGAAAATTTATTTTAATTTTCCAGAGTACTTAAAATCATATTTTAACATCCCATAAGTATTAAAATTATTTTTAATAATTTATTTTGTATTTATCTTGTAATTAATCAAATTAACTACAAATAAACTAATACCTTATAAATTAGAAAATAAATTTCGAAAATTAATTTTAAATTTCCAGAGCTCTTAAAATCATATTTTAAAGTCTCATAATGATTATAATTATTTTTCCATAATTTATTTTGTATTTATCTTAAAATTAATCAAATTAACTACAAATCAAACAATACTTTATAAATTAGGAAATCAATTCCGAAAATTAATTTTAAAAATCCAGAGGTCTTTAAATCATACTTGAAAGTCTCACATTTAAAAAAATTTAATTTTCGAATTTTCGAAATATTTTAATTGGTTAAAACAGTTTTTAATCGATTAACCTGAAAATAAAAATAAATCCAAAATTAAATTCAAAAATCATATTTTCGAATTTTATAAAGTCCAAAATCATATTTTGGCACTTTCTTGATTTTTGGACAATTTTAGAAAATATATACACATATATTTTATTTTATCAATTATCAAAAACCCTAACGGCAATTAGATCTACAAAACTTATAATTCTCATAAGTCGGCTCCGATACCTTTGTTGGGTTCTACGCTTGGATAGGGCAGCGGAAAACAAAATTTTTGGTGTTCAAACGTAGATCCACCCAGGACCTCTTATGATTATTATAAGTTATTGTTTAGAAATATACCTTTCTTGGCGAGCAAGCAACAATATGTGTAGGTTGATGGATTGATCCAAGAGCTAGCCACAAAAGTATATGACCTCCAGTTGAGACACACGAACAACGAAGAGCATTCTAGAGAAAATTATGCTAGTAATATAATTTTACTCTAGAATATTTCTAAAATATAAAATATTTGGTGTAAGTATTAAGAGAACAAAACAAATTTTCCTCTCTTAAACTATAGTAGGGCCGAAATTCTCTCCTCACAGAAGGGGTGGGATGATCTCCTATTTATAAGGAGCATAATCCTCATTCATATTCCTAATAGGAATATACCTTTTAGAATTTAGGAAGGAAATCAAATCCCATTCCCATTCTACTTAGGAAATTTCAAATGGCACTTTAAGGAAGCTTCCAACTTATTTTGTCAACTTTAATTATCATATAATTAACACAAAATAAATAATATAACATTTATTTTATATATATATATACATATACACGAAATATATATATATATATATATATATATAGAAATAATAAACAATTTATTATTCACATATATATATATCTGAATATATATATACTTTATTATTATTAAATATATTTTACAAACTTAATTATCACATAATTAAAATGTCCAAATATAAATATTTATTTATATATGTGTTTGTGTATCTAATCATATTGTCACACAATATAAATACACAATATATAAATAAAGTGCAACTTTACTCCACTTAAATATTCTACACTTTCATATGTTTAATGTGTATGACCCTATTCTAGGCATCTATAAAATTGGACATAGTATCGATTAAATACTACAAGTGATATGCGGTATCTAGCAACACATTATCACCCCCAAATTATAGATTAAAGCTCTTGGAACAATTACTTCAACGACACATCCTATTTGTATAACCCTTATCCCTTTATCACTAATATCTTGATTTAACACAAGGTATGGGGTGTGTCACCATGTTAAAGTTAAATCGATGATTTACTGATTCTTCGATTGACATGTGGGATTCAAATAACATATTTATTTGGGCATGGCCGTGCACTTCCCAAGTCACATCAATCAGTGGGCCCTAAGATATTATACTTCATTAAAGAAGGGATAAATTCTGTCTACGTCATTCACATCTTCGCTTAAGTTTCATTGCATACCCAAAACATAACTGTACATCCACCAATATTTTGGATGGCATAAATCATGCCTCAAAGTATACAACTCAACTTACCAAAGAATGTAATGACTTCAAGTCAAAGGATAGTTATACTAATGGTAGCATGAGAATAATATTAACACTTTAACTCAAACCCATATATTATTCTCATAGCGGGTCAATCCAGCAACATATCCAATATGGTTGCCTACGTATAGATTCAGATAACACTTTATCTATAGTCTATGAGACGCAGCTATCTCATCTCATACGTATTAGTCTTGATATATTATGATGTCTGTATTGTCATAATATTCGACTAAGGATATTTTAGACGTAGCCTCTATCTTTGTAACAGCCTCATAACTAGAACGTCGTAGTTCTCATCTATTTTACTAGAGCGCCTACTCTATGGACTAAAGCTATGTTTAAATCACAGGAGACGACTTAAACAATCTTTAGGGCCTATTGTTCTTGATATATTATACATATGAAATCATAAGTTGGCCTCTAGGGCTCACTTATATTCAATGGTGGTCCCAAAGTGGTGAGATACAAAGTCTAGAGGGGGGGTGAATAGACTTTGTTACAAATTTGAAATCTTTTTCGTTTCTTTTGAAAACGTGAAAATAAGTGTTAATCTAGAGTTCTTGTGAACTTTAAATTATGTGCGGAATTTGGTGGGTAGAGTGAGCAGTAATCAATATGGATGGGTTAGTTTTCACAGTTAATATAATTGCAAATAAGAGTAAAGATAAAAGAGAGAGACACGCAAACTTTAACGAGGTTCGAAGGTGGGGTAATCCTTCTACGTTCTCAAAATCCACTATGTAGTTGGTTGTTGAATAATGAACCAACAATTACACTTGTGTGAATTTCTGCACGGTATATCTTCGCAAGGCCAAAGTTGCTACTGTACTCGTGCTGGCTTTGTTGTTCCTTCGAAGGTCAAGCTTCTTCAACAACTGCAACGTCCGAACAATAGGACTTGCAAGATCAACTTGTAAGAAAGTTGACCTACCCCCTTTTAATCAAGAAGTTTGATCAAAAGTTGTATCCTTCAACGTGATGTGGTACTTGAGGCAAGGAAACCTTCAAGTGTTTACACTATAGCTCTTTGGAAGGAGGAGGAGTTTGCTTCTGGATAAGGAGTTTAGAGATCTCTCTTTATCAAGCTTTTTGGGCTAACTGTG